AATTAAAATTATAAATACTTTACTTTTAAAAAAAATTTATATATAGTATGTTCATGTATCTATATTTTTGTACTGGATTATATTTATAAATAAACTATTTTAATGAGATAATAGTCAAATAATAATAATAAGAAGCTAATACAAAATCTAATATATTATATAAATTTATTAATTTAATTGATTTTTATCAATATTTTAACCTAGATTATATTCTTTTTATTAATTTTCTAAATCTTTCATGCTAAAATAATAAATAAATTACTATTTTTTTTTCTATATAACCAGAAAGTCTTTTTTTTATACTGCTAGATCTTGCTATTTTTTAATATTTTACTGATTTAATCTGTATTTGAATTTTTGTACTGCTTTTAACATAAGTATGAGAATTAATATCATGATTAATATTATAGAGAAAAGATATTAATTATGAATTAGATATGACTTTTATTACATTATATTGCTTAGCAAACTTATTAAGAGTAATGGAAAGATTTGGATCATTATTCTTGTAATTATTTTTAATTATCTTGATAAATGATTCAAAAAATATAAAATTATCTTCATGTACTATATTGAATTTAATTAAAAAAAATAGTTAATTAAAATAATAAATAAAAAATGAACTTAAAGTAAATATATCCATCCTTCAAAGCTGTCTTATTAGATTGTAACTTTTGAATGATGTCATGAGAGTTTTGGATATCATGAAAACTTTGAACTTTATAAGAGTTTTGGACTTTGTAAGAGTTTTGAACTTTATTTTGAACTTTATGAGAATTTTGGACTTTATTTTGAACTTTGTAAAAGTTTTAAACTTTACTTTAGACTTTGTGAGAGATAATTAGATTTAAATTATGATTAATAAAGTATACATATGCAATAATGTATAAAAAAAATAATTCTTAAAAATAATCCCTAAAAAAATTATTAAGTTAGATAAAAATAAAAAAACTAAACTTATCATATTGAAAATGTAATGATATATAAAAGAAGCAATTCTCAAAAATAATTTCTAAAAAAAGTATTAGATTTAGATAAATAAAAGAAAAAAAATAACTAGAACTTATTACATGCAATATATATGTAATTAAAATAATTATTAGAAGTTAAAGATAGAATAAAATTCAATAATCTAATATAAAATTTCATGATTATAGTATCTTGATATCTATATAATACTTCAGATAATCTAATAGGACAAGTATATATATTAATCTCTATATTAATAATATAAAATAATTCAGAATTTTTCTGTTGACTTGAAACCAGATATTTAATATATATTTTTGTTTATTAAATTTTTAATATATTAATTATCTTCTAATCTGAATACAAAAATTGCTTAGCAATTTGAAGATAATCAGGATGTTTATTTGCAATTTCTAGTAAATGATATTTATAAAAATGATTCATATTTATAATTATGAAGTGAAATACTTGAATAGTATTATATATTTAAGTACATGAAAATATAATATCTTTAAGTAATTTAAAGCTATATTTTATATAGTTATTTGTATTATTATCATATAGAAGAAGATCATAATGAAATAATGTTACCTAAAATTGTCATCAATTCCAAAGTGGCTTAAAATATCTTTATAGCAATAAATATATAAAATAATAATTAGCTTTTAAATTATAATAATACCTTAATATTTCAATTTCTGTTTTTGCATATAGAATTTTCTTTATTATTTTTATAATAAATATATAATAATCTTTATTAATATAGTATTTGATTAATATAATTAACATAAAAATACTTAAAGAACATAAAATATATATTAATTTTAATTAATAAATTTTAATATATTCTATTTTATACTTGAATTATCTGTTAAAAAAATTATCAAATCAATATTAAAATTATAATTAAAGAAAATATATTGTAAAAAAAGATTTTTAATATATTTATTTTCTTTTTAAGAGTAATCTCTAGTTTATTAGATATTATAAAAAAATCAAGAGATAATATATCTATTATATAACTTATATAAAATAAAGTAATTAATATATTTAGTAACTTGAAGAAAGCTAAAGTAAAGCTCTTCTGCTTGTCAAATTTTTTTATAAATTTGATATATTAAATTTATTATTAAATAATGAATCAGAGCTTATTCTAAAATTAAGTCAAATACTTAAAGAATAGTATAATTAAATTCAGAATTATTATAAGTACTAATTTTATTTATAAGTTTTTAAATTATTAATATATTATTCTTTTCTTTAAGTTATCTATTATAATACTACTTAAATAAGTTTGAAATATAGTTATAATCAGAATTATATATATAATTAATTAAAAATTATATAAATTTATAATCAGTATTTATATTTAAATATAAATTATATTTATAAATATATATAATTAATATTAATAAATATTTAAATAAAATAGTTATATATATTTGTCATGAATATTTTTTTTAATTTGCTAAAAACTGAGAAATTTTATAGAATAAATATTATAATTATAAGTAAATTTAATATTAATTTTAAGTAAATAAGTTATTTAAAAATGCTAGCTAGTATTCAAGTCAAAGATAAATAATTATTATATATTTAGTATTTCTGACTCATAATAAATAAGATCATTTTAATATAGAATTTTTCTATTTTTATTTTACTTTATTTTTATAAATATAATAATATAGTTCTTAAAAATAATTTTTTTTCTATAACTTGATAATTTTTTATTTTAGATATTATCATTATTAATAATTTCTCAAATTTAGCAAACTATTACTATATATTTTTAATATTATTAGCATTTACAAAACAATTTACTTTAAAATTATTAATTAAAAAATCTTCTTTCATAATATATAGTAAAAGTTATCAAATTTCAAAAGAATAATAATTATAATTTGATAGAAGTATAACTATAATAAAATTAGATAAATATCTTATCTATTATAAATTTATTTATTTTAACTTGATTTTGTATATTAAATAAGCTATTATGAAATTCACTTTTGACTCGAAGTATATTTAATAAGCTATTAAGCAAATTATTATGAGATTCACTTATTTTGACTTGAAGTATATTGGTAAATTATTGCACAAATTATTGTGAGATTTATTTATTTAATTTAAAGTATATTAGATGAGTTATTAAGTAAGTTATTATAAAATTTACTTACTTTAGCTTGAAATATTATTATTATAATAATATAAAATTTTTTATTTTCATAATTTTTCTTTGATTATATAAAATTTCATTTTTCTATAATTTCATATTTATCATATAATTACTCTTATTTTTATATAATTACATATCTATTTCTTTTATTATATTTCTTATAATTATATTTCTATTTTAAATATTATATCTTATTCTCTTAATTTAAGATCTATATTTTTAATTTACATATTATACATATATTATATACTTAATATAATAGTATAATTAAAGATTCTTTTTAATTTTTGATAAACTAATAAAATATTAATATTTGTGACATTAATAAAATATCAATATTTGTAATATTAGCAAAATATTAATATTTATAATATCAACAAAATATTAATATTTTAAATATTAGTAAAATATCAATATTTTGAATACTAATATTATATTGATATTTGAAATATACTAGTATTTTAATGTATTTAATAGATTATAACTCTTTATAATTTAAAATATCAATATATATATTTAGAAAGTATTAATTAGTAATACTATATAATTTATATACTCAAAAAATATATAAAAGAATCTGCTACTATAGCTTGAAATAAATAGTTTTGAATTGAATTATTTGGAAAATATAATTAAAAAGCTTATTATTATAATAATATTAATCTTTTAAAAGATTTCTTTTCTAATTATACTAGTACTCTTTCTCTCACTTAGTTTTATTTCTTTAACTATACAAAGTTAATTTTAATTTAAATATAATATTATATTAATTTTTGATTTTTAATATTATTTTATATTTAGAGAGTAAAAGATCTTTACTATAAATAAGTCATAATTTTAATTCATTTGTTTTATTATTTTTGAGAGTAAAAGATCTCTACTATAAATAAGCCATATCTTTTTAGTTATTTAGTTTTTTATTTACTTTAATTTTTATTTTTCTTTAGTTATAGTCTTTTTTAATTAATAGTAGTTTTATTATTTAATCACTTTAAATCTTAAATTATATTGATTAATAGTGACTTTATTTATTGATCTCTATAATTTCTTTAATTTATATTCTTTTATATTTTATCTTTTTTAAAGATAATATTCATAGATATTGGTATAGGCCTTAAAAATTTTTGTTAGTGTTAAAATTATAGTCTAATTTCTTTCTCTTTTTTTATTACTTAATTCAGTTTCTTTCAATTCAATATTATTAAGATGAACTCAAGTAAAAATCCACTTACCAAATTTGTCATAACATATTTTTGGTATTCTCTCTATGAAAAAAGACCCTTATAGATTCTTTATCCTATTTCTTTATATTTAAAATCTCTTTATATTCTTTTATATCTAAGTAATTGATAAATAATTATATCTTAAGTTTTCATAACTACTTATTATTCTTTTATTAAATTACCTATTAATATTCGTTATTTTTATACATTTAAATTTTTTTCCTTTTTTGAGGGGAGCAGAGATTGACATCGTTATATTTATACAAGAAAATTAGGATTTGCGAATAAGAAATCATTGTTTTGAGTAACAATACTGAAGATAGATATTTTGAGGTCGAGAACAAGCTAGACAGCATCATCTTTGGTCGAAACTTTAAATTGCAGCAATTCATTCATGAAGCAGAACAAAGTTCGTTATCGATTTCATAATGAAGGTCAACAGTAATACCAGTCGCTGCGGTGATCAGAAAACAGGAAATCAGTTCCCAGCCGAAAGGTAAAAAGGTTAATTCCAAATTGTTGGGATGCATTTCGTCACTTTTTTCAACGCGATGGATCTACTGGTGCATTTAACATTTTATTAAAGTAACTTTGCAGTACAACGCTACGCATTTGCAACTCGAAAAAAATAAAAATTTGCATTGTATTGCTTTAATAAGAATTTCCATGCATATTTGTTTGGTTGGATATACATGTAGTTTCTTATTATAACAATGTACGAGATATATGTATAGATAATGCAAGTAATGTATCTCTAATGCAGCAGTTAAGTTTTCGTTATGCAAAGAATGCAATGATAAATGTGAATCTATTGCATGTACTTTAAAAGCAAATTAGTGTTTTACATGTATTAAAAAATAGGCTAAGCGATTTTGATACTTCAACGCGAGATTCTCGCATTATTTACAAGGTGATTTTTCGATTTACTACACATTTGCAAAATAAAGCTATTATGAACGCACGCAAGTGTAAGAATTCTACCAACTAAAAAACTAAAACTATAATTAACTAGATCTCACGAGATCAGTTCTTTTAAAATAAATGCTACTGTTACTGTCGCAACGAAAAATATCCTAATACCCGAAGTTCTTGAATAATATACGAG